GGAGGGCGATGCTGAGGTGAATGAGGGGGAGGGGAGGGATCTGCACGTGCTATCCAAAAAAACGGCCAAAACCGACCTCGAGACAGAGATAAGATCTATAAACCCCGAAGCTGCGCGAGTCGGTGTTCCCGTGGGGCGTTCCGGGTTTATCAAATGCCAAAAAGACAATGAGAGGATTTATTTATTCATTCATTCATTTGTTTTTACCCCGAAGGTAATCGATGCTACATTATAATTAGCATCTTTTCATAAATGCCGGATAATCGCAGCTTCACAACACGGATCACTTTCCCTTCTTTCGTCACCGTGTTAACACCTCTAGGAATTTTTCGGCGGGTCCCAGTGGAGCGGGAAGCACGCGGCGGGATTAATAAGATCTTTGAGAAAATTGCCAGCGCCCCTTTCGAAACGGTGAGATTTGAAAACTCAGCTACTAATTGCTGTGGCCTGCCAGGCATGGATTCCTGCATCTAGATCCTGAAGTGTCTCTCTCCTTGACTTCTTAAAGACAGAATCACAGAATGGCAAGGGTTGGAAGGGACCTCAGGAGATCATCTAGCCCAACCCTCCTGCTAAAGCAAAGAAATATTTCTTATATTTAAAAATACTCTGAATTTTGAAGGCTGTGTAAACACACACACACATACAAAAATATCCTCCACATACGTATGTGTGTACCTATATGAACAAAATCTCCTCAAACTCCTATTTCTCAGTAGTTTCGCTGGTCTGTTACAATTTCTAACTAAAAGTTCCCTGAGAAATTAATTTTTACTCACTTTCCCATTTCCATTGCTCCAAGTTATGAAAAAAAAAAACAAACTCCAAACAAACCAATCATCAAAAACTCTTCATAGGTGCGATTAATAAATTTCTGAACTGAGAACTTCTTTAATCTTGTATTTTTTCTAACAGAAAGTAAAAATACTCTTATGTGCTTGTTTATTTGCATTGTATATGTATTTTTCTCCTTTCCTTTCTTGACGTAGCCTTTCCTGCCAGTCCACTCCTATAAAACGGCTATAGTTGACTCTCGTTGGATTTTTGTCAATTATCCTTTCCTCTGTCCTCCTCCACAAATGTTTGCACGTCACTTATATTTTCAGACCGTCATCTGGAATCCCTCTGCTTTTGAGTGGTTCCCCTTCCCATGTTGCACAGATGTAAAATCGTGCCTCATTTTCGGGACCATTCAAAACTTGTGACTGGCTCCAATTTGCTTACCACCCTGTCCCAGGGGCTGAACTCCAGTCCTAGTCCACGTTCAGTGCAGAGCCCGCTGCCTTCTTGAAAGCTTTTCAAAAAGGTGGCTTCGTGCTTTTTCCCACGCTGTCCTTTGCTGTTTGGTGGGGGCTGCCTGCGGCTGTCGCTTCACTGCGTTCCGTCAAATTCCTCATTAAATTACTTGCCTTGCCCTCCACAGCTGCAAGCTGCCGCCGGCTGGTGCAAGCTCTGGGTTAGGGATCGTCTCTGTGAAGTCCTTGGCACAAAAAGGACAGAACTCATGCCTAAGGGTCATACGTGCAGCTCTCTTTTTTATCCACAAGGATTGGAGCCTACAAAAGAGGAGCACCAGTCCTGTGAGGGGCGGCTGAGGGAACTGGGGTTGTTCAGCCTGGAGAAGAGGAGGCTGAGGGGAGCCCTTATCGCCCTCTAAAACTGCCTGGCAGGAGGCTGTAGCCAGGTGGGGGTTGGTCTCTTCTGCCAAGTAACAAGTGCTAGGACAAGGGGAAATGGCCTCAAGTTGTGCCAGGGGAGGTTTAAATTGGCTATTAGGAAAAATTTCTTCAGCAAAAGGGTTGTCAGGCACTGGAATGGGCTGCCCAGGGAAGTGGTCGAGTCCCCATTCCTGGAGTCATTTAAAAGACGGGCAGATGAGGTGCCTAGGGACATGGTTTAGTAGTGGACAGGTATGGTTGGGCTCGATGATCTTAAAGGTCTTTTCCAACCAGATGATTCTATGCTTCTATGAAAAACCCTTGACCCCAGAGGCTGGGATATATTTGGCAGTGGGGTCTGTTCAGTCCCTGCGGCTGTTCTACTTTGTGCAGAAATTAAGTATTGCTTGAGCAATGGGAAGACAGAGTTTGGTATATCACGCAAAAAGAAATGGAGGAACCAGCGGCTGATTATCCGATAAGGGCTCATTATCTTCCCCACCTGTCTTGTACCTGCTAATTATGAGTGTTTTTCTAAACTGTGTAAGAAACAGAAGTGGTGACAGACAGAAGTTCACTTGATAGTAAAAAACACAATGGAATTATCTGGGGAATGACAAAATATCAACCTATATTAAATAATTCAGCGTTCCCTGTGGGAAGATTATCTGACATGTTAAAATTCCTGTGGCACATCACAATAACTCTATGTTTTATAAATAACTTATTTCCAGTATGTCTGTTCGCAGTTGAAACTGAGATCAGTCCAGTAATGTCAGTTAAAACTAAAAGTCAGCCCTTCATGTCTGCCAAAGTATCACTGATTTAAAAGGAATTTGCTGTCAGTTTACTGCAGATAAGAACCTGATGCTTTGATTCACAATGAATGATTTGAATGAATATTTGAAATAAGAACTGAACTAACATAGAGATGATATTCAATCAGAAGATTTCATGTATTTTATGCATTTTTAGCTATAATGTGTGACCATTTCTGTTCCACAATGAGAACGATCAGAATCAGCAATTCTTAATTTCTTGGATGTATCTTTTTATTAGTTATATTTTTTCCGTTTATGATATTAGTGACAACAACAAAAATGTAAAAAAAACCCACTAATGGTCAGTTTCTGTTCTGAGTTACCAAGCTAATTCAGTAGCAGAAAGTTGGGTCTTTGCTAAATATAAAGCACTGTTCAGGAGTTCATAAGATTAAGTACACTAACCCAAAATTAAAAAGCAAGTGACTGTAAAGAGCACTAATTATTAAGGAAAATACAGTACTGGGCAAATGTGAAATTGTAAAAATAAACCTCAGCTGCGAAAAGCAATTAATCAGTTCTAGGCCTTGACAAGTATTGTCATCCTATGATAAAATAAATCCATTGTCTATTGATCAGCAGTTGCTGACCATCCTGTTTCCATAGCTGGCAGAATGTTCTCTGGACAGCAGAAATCCCAGGATTACTAAGCAAGTGGAAGAAAAGAAGGTTTTCAGGAGTACCCAGCACAGATTCACCAAGGGGAAATCAATCTGATAGCCTTCTATGATGGCATGACTGGCTGGGTAGATGATGGGAGAGCAGCGGATGTTGTCTACCTTGACTTCAGCATGGCTTTTGACACTGTGTCCCATAACATCCTCATAGGGAAGCTCAGGAAGTGTGGGCTGGATGAGTGGACAGTGAGGTGGATTGGGAACTGGCTGCATGACAGAGCTCAGAGGGTTGTGATCGGCGGCACAGAGTCTAGTTGGAGGCCAGTGGCTAGTGGAGTTCCCTAGGACTCAGTACTCGGCCCAGTCTTGTTCAATTTATTCATCAATGACCTGGATGAGGGGACAGAGTGTACCATCAGCAAGTTCACTGACAACACAAAACTGGGAGGAATGGCTGATATGCCGGAAGGCTGTGCTGCCTGGAAAGCAGCTCTGCTGAGAGGGACCTGGGAGTCCTCGTGGATGACAAGCTGACCATGAGCCAGCAGTGTGCCCTGGTTGCCAAGAAGGCCAATGGTATCCTGGGGCGCATTAAGAGGAGCGTGGCCAGCAGGTCGAGGGAGGTTATCCTCCCCCTCTACTCTGCCCTGGTGAGACCCCACCTGGAGTACTGTGTCCAGTTCTGGGTTCCCCAATTCAAAAAAGATGAGGAACTCATTGAGAGGGGGCAACAAAGATGATAAAGGGACTGGAGCATCTCCCCTGTGAGGAAAGGCTGAGAGAGCTGGGCTTGTTCAGCCTGAAGAAGAGAAGACTGAGGGGGGATCTCATCAACACGTACAAATATCTTAAGGGTGGATGTCACGAGGACAGAGCCAGACTCTTTTCAGTGGTGCCCAGTGACAGGACAAGGGGCAATGGGCACAAACTGAAACATAAGAGGTTTCAGTTGAATATAAGGAAGGCCTTCTTTACTTTGAGGGTGACGGAGCACTGGAACAGGCTGCCCAAGGGGGTTGTGGAGTCTCCTTCTCTGGGGATATTCAAACCTGTCTGAATGATGTCCTGTGCAACCTGCTCTAGGTGAACCTGCTTTAGCAGGAGGGTTGGATTGGATGATCTCTGGAGGTCCCTTCCAAGCCCTGCCATTCTGTGATTCTGTGATTACGAGATTTTAATACAAGCACTTTGTACTGATCACATGAGAGATCCTGGTCTGAGGAACAGAATAGCTATTTTTAATATTTGGGAAGAAAGAATGTAGAGTATGGTGTACTTCCCAGATTAGATCTGAATATGAGGAACGGGGGAGCAAATTTTGAAAGAACAGTCTAAATACATGTGATTGTGTCAGATGTGGCTCTGCAAGCACAAGAGGCTGGGGTTCAAACAAAAGACTTGCTTTATATCCATCTTTGCTTATGGGCAAACACATTCAGCAGAAGTATGAAGCAGAATAACTTGCTTTAAATTCAGCAACAAAAATGGGCTTTGGGGTACTGTTAAAACTTCCTCTCCTCTTTGTGGGAAAGCCTTTGGCTGTTGGAACTGAGAAAACATGACTTCTAGCTTGTTGGAACTGCGCAAACATGACTTCTAGCTTGCATGTGATGACTGAAATCTGATAGATGTCCATTACCACATCTAACTCAGATCAAGTATCTGACAGACAAAAAGAATGGAAGTTGAACATCAAATGTAGATCAGCTCATCTTAAATCTATATTTACTAGGATGGTTAGGTTAGATTAATGAATTTTGTTAGATAAATGTGTACAGTGCTTTTATGATTAAAAATTGCTATATTACCAGTTGTTAATTTTTTCTCATGATCACCAGCTTGGCCAATGTTTTCCTGTTTAGGGGAAAAAAAGTAAAACAAAGAAACTTGTGTTTCAATATGAGAGAGAGAGAGAGAGAAGGGAGGGAGGGAGGAAGAAAGAAAAAGAAAGACTGACAAATATCTCAGTTGATCAATAGGTACATAGAGGCAGAAAGATTTACAAATAAAACTTCATGGTTCATGATGTAAGTAACCATATTGCACTCCTACCCTGATTTCCATACAGTGAGCGAGCAATTACTGTCTTGTAAGCTGGACATCTGCACTGGGCAGTTAAGTAGGGTTTGTAATAAAGGATAGAACGAGAGGCCATGTGGATCAATATGACCCATTTGGGAAGAGTAGCACAGATTACGTAAAAGAAAATCCTGTTTTGTAAATCTCTAATGAATTTTTCAAGGGGTCAGCATGCATGTAGATAAGAGTGATCTAATTGATACAATCTACTTGAATTTCCCATCAGCTTCTGATGAAATCCTTAACCAAAGTCTTCTAAGAAACTAAAGCAATGAAATAAGGGGAGAAATGCTAGACTGCATAAAGAACTGATGACCAGATAGGAAATGCACGATAGGGGCAAACATCTAATTCTTGCAGGGGAGAATCGTTCCCAGGGGAGTTCTACAGGGAACTGGGCTGAAAATTGCGCTATTCAATGTGTTCATAGATGGCCCAGAAAGGAGATCAGATGGTGCAATGAGAAAATTGGCTTATGAGAAAGTTATCTTGTGGAGTAAAGATGAATATGGGTTGTAGGAAACTGCAGAAGGACCTGAAAAGGCTTGGTGGCTGGGCAACAAGGTGTCAGAAGAAATTCAGACAGATGATGTAAAGTGATGCACACAGCAAGCAAAAAAATCCTAGTTTCACATGAAGATTCATGGCCTCTTGACCATTACCATACAGGAGCAAGACTTGAGGACTGCAATACAAAGTTCCATGAAAACATCAGCTTAGTGCTCAGCAGTGGTCAGAAGTCATATGGAGAGTTAGGAATTATTAGGAAAGGAATTTCAGAACAAAGTAGAAACTGTTATTGGGCCACTGCATAAATCCACAGTTCACTCCAACCTTGAATACTATGTGCAGTTCTGGTTCCCTGGAGTAGACCTGGAAAGGAGTCAGAGAAAGGCTGCCAGGATTACTCTAGTTGTGAAATGCCTTCTGTACTGGGAAAACGTGAATAGATGGGGCTCTTCAGCTTGAGAGAGAGCCCACTGATGAGAGCTATGACCAATACTTTGCTGTATCTACAAAGTCATGAGTGATCTGGAGCCTAGACTGTCTTCCAGCACAAAACCTAGGGGCCATCAAATTAAAGCCAACAGGACACAGCTTCAAAGCATGCAAAAAGAGGTGGGTTTTCTCATGCAGGGTTTAGCAGCCTTGTAGAATTATTTGCCAATGGATGCTATGGACAGCAAAAGCTTAGCTGGGTTGAAGGGGAAATGGGACAAATGCTTGGTAGAAAGTGTCAGAGAGCAGTAGATAAACCAAACCTGTCTCAGGAAATCCCGTGAACCGAAGGTCGTCCAAGACCAGGAAAGTAGTCAGGAGTGGTATCATAGATGTTTTGCTTCTCCTCAATCTTTAGCATTTGCTTCTGGCTACTGCTGAGCACAGGCTACTGGCCCAGATGGAGCCGCCTTCTGAATTTGCGTGGTTACTGTTATGAGGTCCTGACTGCCTGAATTGTCAAAGAGTGGCCTGTGCTGTGTAGGATGCAGGCAGATTGCGTAGTGGTTTTTTACCAAGCAGAGCATAAAAAGGTTGATTTGAGACTGTTTATGTGGCCTTCGGGTCTGGAAAAAAGCACAGCTCACTATTTTCTTATTTGGTGGTATATATACACCTGATAAATGACTTTTCCAGTACAATAAGGCACAATGCAGTGTTTAATTACTGGAAGTGCTGGTATAGTCACTTTTTCTTCTCAGAAATATAAAAAGCTACAAATAATTAATCTGTTAATTATCTGGAACTGTGATTCTCCTCCCAGCTCTTGTTTTGCCCATCTCTGGAACTGTGATTCTCCTCCCAGCTCTTGTTTTCTGCTGCTGGCCGATGAAGTGGAAGGAGTGAATAAAGAAAATAAAACACATTGAGTTCCAATGTTGTATGTTTTCTCTCTTCCTGTCTTTCTCACTTTCTGTCTTTGATTTTGTTACTGTTTTCTTCTGCACGGTTGTATCTAATGCACTGATCACTTCTTCCTCATTCTGCGACCCAGAAATGGAGGTTGAAACTTCAGGTCATTAACTGGGAGCATGAGCTGCCTATGAATTCCATTTTATGAGCCAGCTACCCTTGTCTGTTTTAATTACAACAGGTGATAAGCAAAAGAGAAGCACAAAGAATACCATTTACCTGCTCGTGATATATCAGGCTGATGGTATTTATTTAGGATGTTTTTCGACTCACTCAGAAGCATGCTGTATTTCCACATTTTACTACATAAAGATAATGTGACACAATTAAATAAACAATTTTTTAAAATCCCATTGTTCAGCTGAATAAGAGGTGTGATTATTGTTTCCATACAGATTTGGTATTTAGCAACTTGCTCATTAATGTCTTGAAATAATACACATCTTAACCACAAACTAGCAGGATGGTGTATTTATGCATCATGGCTGGATCTCAGTCTTACTGAAATCATCTGAATTTATTTATCTAAGAAGCAGCAGGATCAGGAATTTGTTCATCCAATAATTTTTTGGTCTTCCAAGTCCTGTAGATCTTGAGATGTTCTGGGACCTGATCCAAAGATAACTGAGCCCCGTGAGACTCTTTCTATTGATGGTAAAGGACATTAGATGACAGAGTCTGTTCTCACAACTCTGTCTCCAAGGAGGTCAGCAAGACACAGCAAAGGACTTATATATATGTTTCAGGACAAGAATATTACTTCTATAGTGTAAAGACAATTCATCTAGATCTGCAATACTGAAACCTTTTATTTCATAGTACCCTTAGTATCCCATAAAGAGTTAATCTTAATTTTGTTCTTAAAAAATATGCTGAGAATTCAATAGAATCATCTGGGGTTTTTTCCCCTGAAGTATTAATCTTATTCATCAAACTCAGTTTATATTGCATCCATGTTGCTGCCATATGTCATTTAAAGCAAAATTAAGATCTATTCTTCTGAAATGCGGAGTTGCTTTCAGTATTTGTCAAGTAGCTTCATGTGATTTTTTTCCACAGGTGTGAGAAATACATATATATATATAGTACTTTTAGAAAAGTATTCTTTTCATTATATATTACCAGCAAGTAAGGCTGATTTGCCTGTTGGTGGTTTGGTCTTTTCCCACCCCCCCGCCCCCGTGACTCAGAATAACTAGTGCACTGTGTTTAAAACTGATACCTTTTGCAGGAAAAAAGGCATAGGAATATCCTGGGCAGTAAGATTTACTGAGACTTCCAGACAACATATGTGCTAGCAAACGAAATGGACCTGGGAGCATTCTCCAGCATTGAGTGCAACTGGCATGGAGCAGCCCTTATTGGTATTCTAGCTCCTGAAATGTACCTGAAAGCAATTCTGGA